GGGACCCGCCAAAAGGTTTGTGATGGCTTTTGAAGCTGCTCCCACTCGTTGATCTCTTTTGTCTGAACTGCTTCAACAGGTAGGCACGGGCTCAGATAACACGAGGAAACCTGTATCCTTTTCAAGGGGGAATGGTTCCTTAGCAAGCACCCTTGATGTGAGGCACCCTTGATGTGAGGCACCCTTGACATTTAATCAAAGTAAAACATTTAAGAACCTGAAGTGCAGGTTTGCTCAAATGCTACAGGTTCTGCTAATAGAAGGCTGCATGAACCCAGAGGCCGCTCTTGGTCCGGTTGCACGCACTGAAATGGTAGAACAGCAAAATTAAGTACTTTACATATCCATGCACTTGAGCAGTGGTCTTGCACTATGGTATGCTTCAGCCAGATAGTTTCCTGCACAGGTAGACCTCGACTTAACAACAGTTCACAGAGGTGGGTCAAAGTTAACAACTTGTGAGAGTTTTTCACATGACTGTTGTAGCATCCCCTTGGTCATGTGATCATAATGTGGATGCTTGGCAACTGGTTCATATTTATACCAGTTGCAAGTGTCAGTATATTTTGCTTTTCTAACAAGCAAAGTCAATGGGAAAGCCAGGTTCACTTAAGAACTGTGTTACTAACTTAACAACTGCAGTGATTCACTTAACAACAGCGAGAAGAAAGGTCGCAAAATAGGGCAAAATTCACTTAAAGTTTACTCTCAATAACAGAAATTTTGAGCTCAATTGTTGTAAGTTGAGTGCCACCTGTATTTGTTTTTAGGACTAATGCTAGATTAAAATCAACAAACCTCCCAATGGTGTTTAGCATATATCCTATACCTGTCCCAGTGGTGGGATTCAAATAATTCAACAACCGGTTTGCCCGGGGTCAGGTTGGCTGTCATGGGAGGCACAGCTCATCCCCATCCTCCAGCTCCGCTTCATGGCCAAACAATCAATTGCTTCCACAAATCTTGAAATTATTCAACTGGAAGAAAAACTTGAGAGCTCCAGGGCATCCTTTCCACATCTTTTCAAGGGAACAATGAGTTAAGCGTTGGGCAGGGAAGAAGAAAGAGGGCAAGGGGAAGAAAAAAAAGAGGTACAAGATGAGAAAGCCGAAACAAGATTAGCCTTAGAGATTTTGCAAACCATGAAAATGTCAAGAGCTGCATTCTAGTTATCAAAAAAACAACAACCACATGCTAGAATACGAAGAAGAGTGTGAGAAAGAAACAGGACGCAGAACCCAGGTTTCCTTCGGATCTTTTTAAACCAGGAGGAACAGACTTTAACTGCAGGGAATCAAGTCCAAAACCTGGTCAACAAAAACTGTAACTTTAAGTCCAATTAAGCCAAACTGAAGTAATTAGCTTGGCAGGGCAATAGCAAGAATTCCAGACGTGAAGGCATGGCAAAATTCACACGGTTGGGAAGACACCAGGAACACAGATAAGCAAAGACAACACAGGATAAAGTCATGTTTGCTCCCAGCAGCTGCTGCAGTCAGCATTCAATTCTTTGAAACTTTCATTCCCAGGTGTGGCTAATGAAGGGAATCAGGGCCTTTTCCTCCCCCGTAAGCCATGCAACCCACATTGCTCTCTTCTCCGATCCTTCCTGCATGCCCTAGGATGAAGAGGGGTGGGCCTGGGTCTTCCTCTGAACTCCCTCTCCCTTGTTCTATCTCTCCCCTGCTCTGCCCAGCCGGACTTTGCCCTTCCACAGCCTCTTCCACAGCCATCGAAGCCACACTCCCTGTCAGCTGTTTGTCTTCCTCCTCAGATTCAGACTCTGACAGAGGCATGGCAAACTACATTTCAAAGCAAGTCACCCCGAAGCAGTTAGTTAAACATAATTCAGACCTGCCAAAGAGGAAAAAAATGCATGGAGGTCTATCAATGCAGAATCAAAACAGAAAAATTCAAATATTTCATAGCTTTCTAGCGGGATATTATGAAGTATTGGTTAGTTCTTCTTTAAAAAGAGACAATAAAATCATAGAATTGGAAAGAACCACATAAACCAACAATTCAATTCCCTGCTTAGTGCTGGAATCCCAGTTACAGTATGCCCATAGATGGCTGTCAATCCTATGCATGCAAGGAAAGAAAGCCCAGCCAAACTGTTTCTGCTAGATAACTGGAAGCCCATCTTTTAAGACAGATAGATAGACTTTAAATATGATCTTGATCATGCAACCAAAAACTGCAAACCATACCCTAAATATCCCAGGAATATTTCAAGCTTCTTGTTCTCCAATTTCAAAAAAACTCTCAGAACTTTATCTGGAGAAATCAAGCAGAAACCTAGTTCATCATTAATAGATCTAGCTGATCATGGGGCTGTATTTTGCAGGTACCAAAGGTTTAATATGGCGCTCTATAGAAACCACCAAGTTGCACGTTGAGAGAAGCATTGGATATTGCAAGAAATAGTAGCTGAAGTCAAAGCTGAAATAATTCCATTTCTATCTCTGAAGAAAGACATCAGGTTGGAAGGGAGAATGGAAGTTCTGGCTCTACCCTAGGCACAAAGCCAAAAGGGTGACTTGAGCCAGTCAGTCTACTAGAGCCCTAGAAGGAAGACAAGGGCAAACCACTTCTGGCATCTTGTTTAAGAAAACTGCAGGAACTTGTCCAAGCAATCGGCAGGACGCAGGAGACATAAAAACAAAAACTTCTGAAGTGCATGTATGCAATGGTTCATAAGAAAAACAAAACACCACCCTGATAAAAAAGCAGCATAAAACAGGAACAAAGTCTTGCAGAAATGGACTCTGAAATAAAGTTCTACTGAGTAACAAACATTTGCCTTGCAAAAGAACATCATGTTGGAAATCAGATACCAAATGGGACACATTGCAAACAGAGGACAAAACTGATCTTGTTGGTTAAGATGTTCCATAATGAACAGTAGGTTGATTAGGCTGAAAGGTTCTTTGGGCACCTGATGAAGACCCCTTTATTTTCTAAGCCCTTTAATGTAAGATGCTGATAAAGTGATGGAGTTTGGGTGCATATGTATATTTTGTCCTGTTTATTTTTTTTTCAGCTGATTATTTTATGGGTCTAAACTGTGTTTAGAACTCTTGACACAGGAATGTACATTTGAAAGGATGACACAGGCATGTAAAAAATGGGAACTGTTCCAGGGGTGCCTTGCAAAGAGGAAAATCTGCCCGTAAAAAGCACATACCTTGGTTGCACCTTCATTACAGTAGCTTCACCCACCCCAATTTCTCACTAGGACTGCCTTCTCTTTCAGCGAGGTTAGCATCCTCTCGGATATTCACAACTAGCTTTAGAACACATTACAAAAACATTGCATACTGACAATCAAGTTTCATATACAGCATTTAGAACTTCTGTCCATGAGCAAATACATGAATACAGTGATCAATGATTTCTGCAGATATATTAAATATTTACTATTCTCTGTGTATATATACAGCAATGCGAAATGCAACCAATTTGATCCTAAGTTATGAATCTTGATTTTCTCCCCTCTTGATAACTACATATAAGTTTACAATTCTTGCTGCATAAATATTTAGACTTTGCAGACTATTATGTTTTTTGTAGGTTTCTTTGGAAGATACAGGTTTACAAACATAACCTTGCAATTGTACAACTGAAATCATGCAATTCATGTGAAATCTTGCAAATGGGAACACAGACTATTTATTCTTTCAGATTCTTTCCCCCTGCCTAACAGAAGCAGAAAAGAAGGCCTCCCCAAAACATCCCATTGTTTTGCACAACAGATAATGGTGTCCGTTCAAATTTTGATCAAGCACAATGGAAACTTCAATTTAATATCCCAAACTAACAATTGGTAGGAAATTAGGGTTAAAATATGGATTATGAATAGGACTCATTTCCTAATTTGCATAGATGTTTCTGTCACATGCAAAAGAAACATGTTTGCACACTTTGAGATTTTTAAATTTAGACTAGAAAGAGGGTAACAAATTGAGAATATCAGTCTGCTCAAAACAACTATTCTGAACTGGCTACTCATTAGTTACTTATAGTTGTATTAGATGTTATTAGATATGCCTAACTGTGTGCTTCCTACTGGACTCTTAACGTGGAATCAGTAGGACTAAAATAATGTCAATTAATATTTAATAGTTACATGGAATATTGTGTGACAATCCCTGGACAAGAATCTGCTTGGTTACCGAATAAACAACTCAAGTCATGAAAGGGAATACTTCAAATCACGCCAACCTCAATGTCTAGGTACGAAGATGCAATGAGATGTATTCATTTATTGTACTGTGCTATATCACACTTTACATGGACATGGAAACAATTTTGATTCATCATTTTAGTAGCCTTTTCACACTTCAAGCAAGCCAAAGGGTTGCTTTGAAGAAATAACTATTATAAGAGCACACACAATTAAGCTGGATTTACTCCGAGCTATCCTTGAGATATATCAATGTAATAGATATTGTTAAAATAACCTATTCCTTAACTCTCCTAAAGATGATGTAAAAAAAATCAAGAATTTTTATTGTTTTTGTATAACAGAATTATATACAAACATCTCTGATTTACCTGATATTTTAACCTGCAGGTAAACCATTTATTGCATATTCATTTTAATGTTCTGTGGATTCTTGGCCAAGATTCACAGAACGAGAATCATCAAGTTTTTGTTTGTTTGTTTGTTTGTAAAACTCTGTTACACTCTGGGCAAAGCTGTGCCAAGTTCTGCGGCTTGATAAATTTTTGCTTTTGCATTAAAAGAAAATGGCTGTTTTTGCTGAACGGTTGCACTTTAGTGTTGAGAAGGCATCTTACTTGCTTTTGAGGCTGTCTAAAAGGAATGTGAAGGTGGGTTCTAAATCTAGATGTTTGTGAGAATGTTTGTGATAAGTATGAAGTGTATCTTCAGAATATGGTGCCTTTAAAGAGGCCATAATCAGAATGAGGCGACTTTCCACAGCAGGCTTTCTGGAATCTCTGTATCCAGGAGAGAATAATGAACAGCAAGGATATGAAATCAAATGTTTATATTTATTACAGCAGGGGGTGGGGGAGAGAAAAGATCTTGATTTATCTTTTAAAAACCATCCCAGACCAACGAAGACATTTAATTTAGCCATCACTTTAATACAATGAAACCTGCCAAGTTATCTCTTTAAAAAAAAGTGTTGCGTTAGGAATGGGACAAATCTTCATTTGAAGGTTTATTATTTTTTTCTTTAAATATAATCCTGACTGTAACTGTGAGAATCTTTGTTTGCCCACCCCATCATCTTTCTACAGAAAAAAAAAACTTAATCAAAATGCCTAAGAAAAGGGCAAGCATTTGTTTTTTTAAAAAAATCATTGTCTTCTTAAAAATTACACGGTTTCAAGTACTTTTTTGATAGAGTAAAAACAAGCCAATGTTTTCCAAAATGAAACCAAACCAAAAAGGAAAAAACAAAACAAAAACCCAAACAAAACCATAAGTAAAAAAAAAAAACATTTCATTAAGGGGTGCAGAAAAAAGACATCCCTTTAATAAAACATTATCAACAAATATCGTACACAAACTACAATGTATAATAATTACTTTTCCTTTCCCTCGTTTAACTTTAGAACCAGACTACAAGGTAAGAAAAAACACTGAAACAAGATACAATGTTCTCAAGAATCCGCACAAAGGTAGGTAAATCCAGGGTAAGATAATATTTTACATAATATGAAATACATAGATCAGAAGTGAAGGGTTTTTTTTTCTTTTATATAAAACAAAGACCAGCTACAAGGGGGTGTAATGTACAGAGATCTCAAGACTTGCGAGTTTCACTATACATGATATGCTTTTCTGTAGTCACCCCTACCAGGAGAATGTAAGATTTATTTATTTTTAAATTCTGCTTTTAATTACAGAGTGAGAAGGAGGGAGAGAGAGCCTACAGAATAGCAAGTATACAATTTAACAACAATAATTACTTAAAAATATCTCCATCCAGTTCCAGAGCATATACAGTGAAACCCTAGTAAGATCACATTGTTTCATTAGAAAACCCAAAGCAAAAATGAAAACAAAGCAGTTGTTAAGAAGTTTGCTCTCACCAGTTTTTGAGTCAAGTTTTTTAATGCCTTTTTCATTTTATTTCTGACACCGTCCCAACAGGGGGGAAAAAAAAACACCCAAGTACAGATAGTTGACTTACAACCTTTTAGCAGTGCTTTCAAGTTATGATGGCCTTGGAAACAGTGACTTACGACCCATCCTCTAACCTATGACCCTCACACCACCCCACGGCCATGTGATCACAATTCGGGCACTTGGCAACCGGCTCACATTTATGATTGGTGGCAGATGGTCTTGTGGTCACGTGATCATGATTTGCTACCTTCCCAAGCTTCTACCAAGCAAAAGTCAATGGGGGAAAACCAGATTTGCTTAACACCCAGATTCGCTTATATGGCCATGGGGAAAAAATGGCCGTAAAAACCAAGTCTGGTTGCGTGATGACTTGCTTAACTCTTGCATCGCTAAGCAAGCAAAACCCCAATCCCAATTCTGGCTGTAAGTCTAGGACTACCTGTACCCCTAACCCTCAATACCCCACCTCCCAGAAATCCTGACATTTTCCAAATTCTGCAAAAGGGCAATTCATAGCAGTGCTTGGGGGAGGGGGGAAGGGGAGGGGGGGGAGGAGGGAGGACAAGCAAGGGAGGGGACTAAAATAGTGCATGCCACAGTCACAGATATACCCAAGATCACAATTAAACTTTTGGAGGATGTGATCCTAGAAGGGAGCCAGCTGCATTACAAACTGAGGCAGGGGAAATCTTTTCCACTCTTCTTGCTGAAGGAAGTGTTGTGCTGCAAGACACCAACCTAAAAAGGGGAAGGGGGAGTAATGGGGGCAAAGGTCTTCTGAACAAAACCCACCAATTTATTTAAAAAAAAAATCCTGTCCAGTTTTATTATTTTAAAATGGCTACAGAGACAACATGAGATTTCATATCTAGACTAGTTTCCTTGCGTAGCACAGCACAAACATACAAGAAGTTTAAAAGAATAATCAAGCAAAGGAGGCTGGAATTGGGTGCTAGAGGCTTCCGTTTGTTTCCAAAAAATGAACAACAACAAAAAAAGTGTCATATACATATAATAAATCCTTCTGCAGAAGAAGGATCTTGTCATGTCTTGAAATATTTTAAAGATTTGTCCTTCATTGTTTTATGGAATAAAAAGTTCAGCCTTTTTATTGCATGAAACTAAAAATTAGGGCTGGATCTCCGGCTCTCAGTGTCTCCCTGCCAAACGCACCTAAGCTTCTTCTCGTCTTGCATAATTTCTTCAGATCCTCCAAAGGGCAGCCGACTTTTTCTTTATCCTGGAGAAGAGGATGTGGGGCGAAGGAAGAGGGAAATCACACACTCATTGTCATGCTGGGAGAATACTGGGTGGGTGAGGGAGGGAAGAGGGCGAGAGAAAAAAAAAAGAAAGAAAGAAAGAAAGAAAAATATCACACAGTAAGAATGAGGCCAAAACCAGAACAAATTGCTAACTAATGTGCTAGGCAAGAAAACGGGGAAAGAGACATGGGGTTCCTGAAACAACAACTCTTCTCAACTGATCCAAGAAATCACAGAGAGAAAATATGATAGAAATCTAATTGCCACTCTTTTATCTCCTGTCGGTCAACAATGGTTGGTGGTTAGGTGGAAACTCAAGGGCTGCTGCTTTTACTATTTCCTTTGTCATATGTATACAGTGATAAAGACCCTCACGTTAGAATGAACATAATACAACAAAGATTTAATCTTATATGTTTTTGCATGAAACAAGTTACGCTAATAATGAAGATGTTGCTTTGTCTTAGTAACCTTTGCTTTGGTTGTTGATCAGCATCCCTTTCTCGCGGCCATGTTATATTTTATATTGGCATCATTGGCAGAACCAGCTTCTACTGCTTTGATCGTCCGTCAGGGATGTTTTCAAGAAGTCCACCCATTCAAGGAGATATAGCATAGTTGTGCTTTCCCGCTTCTTCTAATACCCTCATTGAAAATTTGATTCTAAGCTCCTCATGCTAAGACCTAGCATTCATTTATGTTACTTTATTTTTTTTTAAAAAAAGTATGATTAATAATGATGGCAATGATTTTCCTACATTGAAAGGGCTTCTATGATCAATATAAACTCTAGCCAGAAGTTGTCAAGCAACAAGTTTCTCTTATGCACATACATTACACGTGTTTGCTGTGTAATATTCAAACTGTGAGAGCCAAGCACATTTCTTTTGTGTTTGCTCTCTGCTTCTAGGATTGTTTCAGAGGAACTCTCTATATTTCCTTATTCCCTTTAAATAATTTATGGTTTCCATTGCCTCCCTTTGGAACCATTTATTTTCCTCTTATGTAGAAGGTATGCTACATCCAGATATCATACTGATGATCTTACTGTGGATCTTTTCCCAGTTCTATCAGCCCCCAGATCATACTTCCTTTATTTTATTTTTTTCATCTGATGGTCCAAGAGCCACCCTCACATTGTCAGCCATCATATTTCCACATATATAAAACAGAGAACCCTCCAAGAGCCTTGAAAAACTCTGAGATTGAAATGCAATGCATTTAAAGAACGGGCGTAAGAACGACTCACGTTGTCATTTTGGAAGGAATGGAGGAAGTTGCCTCCCAGTTCACCATCATCTCGTGGAGTGCCCGGAGGATTGCTAATGCCACTTATGTTGTTTGGAGAATTCTACAATTAAAAAGAAAAGGGGAGGTGGGGGGAGGAAGGGGAAACACAGAGACCACACACATACACATTGAAAGTGAGAGAGTGTTTTTCAGCAACGTGTACACAAACAACTATAAGAAAAAAACATTGTTCTCGGATGAGCAAAAGATAGCTAAACACGAAGCTTATGCATAGAAAGAAAGTATTGCACTTCATTTAGAGCATAAGGGTCTTCATCTGCTAAGTCAACAGGGGAAGTCTGCTAACTTCTGGAAAACTAATAAACTTGGACCGGAGGATGAACATTTCCTCCCTACTTTTACCCCACAGTATCCTGTAAACCTCAATTTGACATTTAATACAAAAAAAGGCAACAAGCCCCCACCTAATTACATTAGCAACGTGTTAACTTACTTTTGGAAGTCCATCAATGTCTCCTGACCCTGATGAAAGAAGATTGGGAAGATGGGATGGAGAGGAAGAGAAAAACAGACTGTTAGCGGAAAGGACTTTGTTTCCCCCATCTAGAAACACGTAGATTGTGAACCTATATGCAGAAAATAAGAGGCTGCTGCAAAAGAAAGGTAGGGCTGGACCTTCTGGGAAGCAGCTGGCAGTACATTAGTGAGTTGCAGGTCACAGCTGGGCTAATGCAAACCTCTTAACATTTGCCTCCAGAAAGGGACCTGCTGGGGGGACGCCTCAGCTGCCATTCCTTTGCATGGAAAACTCCCCGGAGCAGAGCCCAGTTCACCTTCCTGCACAGCACTAGAGTAATGGCCTAATCGAGTTGCTACGGCCTCGCCTCCCTCCCGTGAGCTTTCTGACACTGATCAAGATGGAGTACAGCACCTCTACTTCAGCAAGATGTATAAGGCAAGCATGGGAGGTTAATGGGTCTTTCTGCTGCTTTAATTAAAACACACACACCACAGATAGGTTCACGCTGCTTCTTCTCTGTTATCTATCAACAGGAGTGCGGCGAGCCTGTGACTAGCGTTTCCTGTTTTCTGGCTAATTTTCGATACGACGAGTGTTTAAAGAATGGCAAAGACATTGGGATTGCTGATTACCAACATAGAACCAGTCACCTATGGAAACTTGGAGGAATTTCCCCCAGAAAAATAAGGAAGAGGAAAATCAAAGCTATCCATTTATGAATGAGAAGGCCCCACAGGTTCTGAACACAAAGAGCATCAGTTGCAGAAAAGGGTAGAATACCAGGGCAAAGGTGCTACCAACATAATGCTAGTCGCACGGCACTTTTATGCCTGTCCTAGTGGTGAGCCTCTAAACATTTCCTGCGGTACCCGTGAGTGATGGCATAAGAGACTGAGAGGTATCATAGAAAAATAAAGGGGCAGTGGTCTGTTGCCCATGTTCCTGGGTTAGGCTGGGGGTGGGTGAGAGAAAGCATGTTGGGGTGGGGAACTATGGAAGGAAGCAGCCCGCTAGAGCAGAAAGGATACTAGATCAGCAATCCCCCAATCTTTACAACTTGGCAGCCCAGGGGAGGGGCAAGAGGGAACTGCCCGCGTAAGTGGTGGGCCGGCCTATGCACTAACATGCGGGAGGGCCCACCTCTCTCGAGTTGAACTGCATGTGTAGCACGGGTCCGCTGGTCCTGCAAGTTGAGCTGGGTGTGTGTGCACCGGCCAGCCACTCGCATGGCCCGGTTCTGAACAGCCCACGGCCTGGGAGTTGGGGGCCCCTGTACTAATTAAAGGCTGGGCTTCCTGGTGCCTAAAACTGGCTGAGGGAAGCCCCTAATTTTTTCCTCTGCATTCTGACCCGTGTCTTACTACAAGGCCGCCTCTCCTGGGTTCCCACAACTCACTCCGACTTTGGAATGATTTGGCCTCCTTTGTAGCCACTCACTGGGTGTGGCTTACCCAATCAGAAACCCCCATAGAACCAACTTCTATTAAAAGACAGAATCCTGCGTGACTTTGCCCCGAATATTTTTTATTCAGCTTACCTAATGAGCCATTCATGTGATGGGGTTCCATCCCACCCATGCCTCCCATGGGGCCATCTGATCCAGGCCCCATTGGGAACTACGAGGGGGAAAAAGAAGGCATCCGTTATGATGGATCATTTGTATTGTAAAATGCCAGCCAACCAATTACCTTATATATTAACAGCTATAACGTTCAGAAGGTTAATCTGCTCTGCAAACTAATTTTTTTTGGGAAGTCTGTTACTAGGAAAAGAACATCTGATAGCTTCAAAAGAGAGAACAGCTAGTAGTATCAAATTACCATCACTTAAGATGTGGTAAAACATCCTTATTTTGAATATATTGGATCTTATTTTATCTATACCAGACAGCTACCTAAGCTTTGAAAAAAAAGCTGAAATTACCACTGCCTCGAAGAGAGAGTATAGCAGTGTCATATACTTCCCTAAAGTAAATGAAGAGGAGGGAAGCTTCAGAGCAACCCCTGGTAATTAGTTTCAACTAAGTGTGCAAGAAGGAGTAGATTTCAAGCTGTGTTCTCTTTAAAAACAGCCCCATCTCAGCAATGCCTGTGATGGTCTTGACCAGAGCCACATGAATGCTACTATTTTAATAAGCATAAAAAATTAACAAAGTCCTGAAGAGTTAATCACTCGTTAATGGTTTGTTTTATTTCTATTTTGAAATAAATGACTGAAATCAATTAAACTGCTTTACCCTCAACTGATGAAGTTAATTATGATTTGTTATGGTATCTGATATGTAAATTATTAGAAAGCAGACTTACATTCGACCGACTGCCTCCAGGCGGTACAGGATTAATCATTGTGTAGATGTTGTCACTTGAATTTGTCGAATCTATAGAACAGTGAAATCCACTAAGTCAGGGTGATTAATTCATTTCTTAATTAAAACAAACTCATGCCACTTGAACTCATTCTTTCGAGCTTTATCACCTAAAATTCCCTCTAAGTACCACCATTTTCTGGCTAATTTGTATTTAATGAAGATTCACAAAGTTTTTAATCACAGAAATTCAACTGTGAAAAGAAGTCTCTGCTACTAACCAAGGATCTTGAAGCCTTTTTGCTACTGAGGGATGAAGAAAGATAATTTTCTGCCACATGCCACTTAGCGCCTCAAAATTAGCCAGTGCAATTATCTCACTACACCATAATTTTTTCTTCTTTTTGAAAGAAGAGTAATATTTGTCATTTTACATATATTATTTTCCCCAATAAAGCAAGAATCTAGCTTTTTAGCGCTGGTAGCAGGAGGAAAAACCCAGCCAAGCTATAGAATGCCAAACAGAAAGATTTATAAGCAGGCCACAATAACGGAATTTTAAAAAGAGGGGAGATTTGTAGCTGAATTTACATGTGGATTGTTTTATTATGATCTAGTAAGAAATGTAGGTCAGAGTCCTCATAAAAATGCAGGAGGAAAGCAGTGATAATACTGAAACGTAGCTCCACCTCTGCAGCTGTTGTGTACCCCTGTTACATGCAACAGGACCACTTTCCTTCAGTGTCCCTTTCCATTTTTGCTTCTTCCAACTGATGCTCAAAGTGTGAGCTAAGTCAAACTTTGGCCCTGTCAGAATATTCACGAGGAGGAATTCTGGGAGTTGAAGTACAACACGTCATAAAAGGGCCATAGTTCCCCACCTCTTCTGTTAGGGAACCAAGGCTAGGAGGAGATTTTATGCAGACTTCTGGGAAGACATGTGCAGAAGCAGATCACGCAACGTAGGGAGCACCACTGTGCAAAGTGGCATTCTGAAACGGTGTGAAGTGTAAAGCTGGATAATGTGTACTGGCTACTTCTCTGAGGAACCCCTTGGCCCCAGTACCGGGAAAGCCCACAAAAGTGGAACATTACAACCTTAACCACGCTGGATTTAGGGAGTTTAATAGGGCTTATTTTACATTTCCCTGTAATTCCCTTGGGGCCTGTAGAAGATGATTTGTTAGATTCCACAAATCACCCGGACACATTTCACCTTCGATAAAAAGTTTCACCAGGAAAATAAAAAAAAAAACCACACAAAATAAGCCTATTCTAATAAGTCAGCATTTATTAAAAATTATTCATCAAGGGAAGCAGTGCCAAACTTAATCCTACTTGCCAGGAACTTGATGCTGATCGCAAACTGTCTTCAGATGAATCCAGAAAGGCTGAGCCACAGGTGAACCCTCCCCATCTCCATTGTCGAATTCCTACTGTATAACTTCCCTGTACTTTAAGCCTAACAGAACCTAAGCTATCAGTGCTGGGAAGGAAGGAAGGAAGGAAGGAAGGAAGGAAGGAAGGAAGGAAGGA